TTTCTTCTTTATTTTGAGGCTGTTTCGGTAGATGGGGTCATAACATTTTCTTATATTCCCTGCAGTTTTAATTTCTCTCAAAACAACCTAGGACCCAACAGAGTATGACTCTAAATGGTTTGACCTATAAAGGTGGAAATTCATTCATTCAACAAATGAATGTTTACTGAACACCCACTATGTGCCACAAACTACCCCAGGTGCTGGAGATGCACACAGTGACCAAGACAGGTGCCAGGCGTTCCTGTAGCACGGACCTCACACCCTAACAAGGGTGATCTCAAACTGTGGCCCACAGGTCAAATCCAGTCCACAGCCTGCTTTCGTACAGCCTGTAAGCGACAAATGTTTTTGGACATGTTTTAATGGTTGGTTGAAAAACAAAAATCGAGAAAGGAAAAACAGTTCATCACATGTCAAAAATATGTGAAATGCACATTTCCGTGTCCATAAATATAGTTTTATTGGAACAGAGGTACACTCACTCATTTGCATACTTTTGTGCTATGACAGTAGGGCAGAGTGGTCAGGACAGAGACTGCCTGGCATGCAAAGATAAGAAGATTTACTCTCTGACCCAGTACAGAAAAAGCTCCCACCCTACTAGATGAGATAGAAAATAAATACATAAATAGATCAATATGAGTTTCTGGCAATGCTGAATGCACATAGAAAAGGCAGAATGAGGAGAGAGGGTGGCTGGAAGGTTGAACTTATGCAGCCTGGTCAGGGGTGGCATCTCTGAGCCAAGGCCTGAATAGCAAGGAGCCAGCTGGGTGGACTGTTGAGGGAACAGAATTCTGGCCAAGGGAACAGCAAGTGCAAAGGCCCTGAGGCAGACGACTAGGCAGGTAAGGTGGTTCCCATCAAAGCGAGCAGGCACAGGAGGGAGTGTGGTAGGGCAGGGAGAGAGGAGTGCACCACAGAGGACAAGAGGACAGGGAGGCCATAGGAAGGGTTCTGGAATTGTTTCCAAGGGCAACAAGAAGTCACTGGAGAGTTCTGAGCAAAAGACCAGCTTTAGAGTTTTGAAAAGCTCCTTAAGGGAGCAGGAGAGAAAACTGATGAGTTAGGACACCTCTAGCTTCTGGCTCCCGGGACAGGCCAAGTCAAAGGCCAGGAACTCAACACAATTCACCAACAGCAAGATCAGCTCACTGATCCACTCAGGCCTTAGTATCAAAGTGACACAACTTTTTTTTTAATATCACAGTTAAATCCATGTCATTGTATAAAAGTATTGGCAACCAGCACATTAACAGTCCCACAGTCCCAAGGCCATTATAGCTCAGTAAGAGGTCATGAGTAAAGAAAAAGTGAATCACCTTAGAGTCCACTGAATGCAAACTGTTAAGGAAACTGACATGAAGGGGCACGGTGACCAGGGGTGTGGAATGGAATCCTGGGTAGGGACCTACGGTGGCTTAGAGGCTGAGAACAGCCCGGGGAGACCCCCCACACCATGCCCAGCAGTCCCTTAGGAGGGCAGCAGTGGGTGGCGTGGTGCGCCTGCATCTCCTGGGGGTGGCAGCTGAGGGCTGGGAAGGGCAGGGAGGTGGAGCAGTGGAAGGGACCAGGACAGCAGGCCAGGGAGTGCAGCAGACACAGTGTGCAGGCCCGAGTCCCTCCCTATTCAAGGGGGAGGGGGGACAGGGACAAAGGGAACCAGAGCTGGAGCGAGACGGGGTCATGGCCGAATACTGGGCTGCTTAAAGTTTAAAGCTTCAGTGAGAGGGTCTCGCCCAGGGATGACTGTGCCCCCCAGAGGTCACTCAGCGGTGTCTGGGGACACCTGTGGTTGTCACAGCTTGGGGGAAGGGGCTGCTGCTGACATTGAGGAAGTGGGGGCCAGGGATGGTGCTCAAAGCCCCATGTGCACAGGACAGTCCCCAGAGAATGCCCCGGCCCAAACGTGGACAAGGAGGGCAGGGGAGAGATCCCAGCAGAAGCCATCAGCATTGCCCTGGCGAACCCGCCCAGGAAGCAGAGCTCCCTGGCGCCATACAAGGCACTTCAGTGCCTTTCATCCCTTGACCCCACAATGACCTGGCATGGGTTCTCATGACACCCATTTTACAGATGAGGAAGGCGAGACCCAAAGCAGTGAAGTGAACTGCCCCAGGGGAGGGATTTGAACCCGGGTCTCTCACACTGGGGAGCGTGTGCGGAGAATGGAGGGGAGGATGGAAATTTGGGGAGGCAGGTCAGACCAGGGTTCAAGTCCAGCCCTCTCCTCGGCTGTGCTGTGTCCTCAGCCAGAGGCAGAGGCACCGGGGGTAGGGCAGGTAGGAGCCGTGGTGCCAAGGCCCCATGGGGCAGCAGAGCAGGAGCCTCGGCGGTCCCAGCTGTAGGTGAGGCATGGTGGTGACCGGTGGATCTGCAGGTACCCCTGTCCCACACTGTTTGCAGCTCATTTGCTCTCCACCCCCACCCCATCTGGGGAAAGTTTAACAACCTGTGTCCCCACTCTGTTCTTGAGCAAGTGACTGGCCCCTGGTCACACAGGTCCAGACCCCGCATGGCACCTCCAGATCCCGGCAGAGAGCCGCCTGGAAATGCTCCCTTGCCCACACCTCGGCCCCTCACTACCCGGGTCCTGCCTGCTCGCTGAGCCGGGCCCTGCAGCAGCTGGCTCCACACAGCTGTCACAGCTGTGCCCAGGCCCCAGGGACATCCACCTCTCCCTTTGCCCCACTAGACCCAACGCTCCCTGAAGTTAGGGATTCCCCACAGTCTGCCCTGGAGTCCCCAGAGAAGGTGGATGCGTGACCCCAAAGGCCATGCTCACAGGTGTCAGGTGAAACCAAGGAACAGATGGGCTCCAGGCAGCCAGGGAAGGGGGGCGGGGCACAGGAGGGCAGGGCAAGAACCCAGCAAGGAGGTGGAGAAACTCGGGATCCAGTCTAGGCAGAGCAGCCAGGGTGGAGACCGCCCGCGCCACTCTAGGGGGCTCCTGCAGGAAAGCGCAGCAACCAGGAAGGGTCTTTTCCAGGAGGGAGAAAGTACAACAAAGGCTGGGTGGGGTCCCAAATGACCGGGTCAGCGACACCTTTAAGCTCTAGTATTTAACGGCTCCTTAGCAGCCCCCTCCCCAAAGAAGAAAGGATTAGAAAATGGGAGAAAATCAGCTGTTACCAAGACCTCAGGTCTCAACAACTCCACACTCACGAGCAGACGCACGGGCAGCACCTGACACAGGATCCACTTGCATGCGCTGCAGCACCTGGGAGCATTTGTGCAAACGTACCTCCGCCGCCCCTTTGCTCCCAGGAGGTGACCTCCCCCAGAGTAGGGCTGGCTGGCCAGCGCGGTGTCCCACACAAGTGGGGAGCACCAAGATTTGCCGAGCAGCCAATCAGAAACAGAGAGAGGGGGCTAGCGAGTTTCAGAAACCCTTAACTCAGATAATGACAAGTTGACGCTACGACTTTGACGCTCCGTCCTTCGGGGTTCCAAAAGCCAAACTGTAAACATGAAAGAGGCTGCCCAGTGCTTTTGCAGAGGTGGGGAGAAAAGGCTTGGCCGGTGTGTTGACAAACCCTCCCGATGCCTCAGAAGAAAGCTATTATTTGAGAATTAAGAGAGTCATTAGCTCTTGCACGGCTGCGATAAAAACCCATAGGAGTCATGTAATGAGCCCGTTTGAGGGGCATCGCCAGCCTGGAGACAGCCACATAAATGGCTATTGAGGCAGACGGCTGGGGCAGTGCACCCAAGCTGTAAATGCACCCCGGTTTCCTCAGACCTTTAGCCTGCCTGCATCCAGTGGGACCCAAAGGAGCTTGCTGAAAAAATGTTAATTGACAGAAACACATGGAAAATGACACACTCTTTACATGTTATAGGATCCTTGGACCCCACTCACTTGTTTCATAACTTGGGAAACCATTTCCCAGGTGCACGTGAATTATTAGAACCAAAGCATCCTCCCCGAACCAGACAGATGGAACACACCAAGGCACAGTCCACACTCCCACCGCTCCCAGGAATTAAAAACAAACAAAAAAACAAAAAAACACCAAACAGCCTGTAAAAACCTTCTGCCCCTGCCCAGGTGAACATGCACCCCCTTTCACCTGGGTGCAAACCCAATGGCTGCCTCGTGCCCACTGGGTGCTGACAGAGGCCCTGGCAAACCCCAGGGAAAGGCCCTTTCAGAAGGAATCGGTTCCCCAGCTCCCACGAGGGTGGATGGAACACCCCAACAGGGTCGTCGCGGGAGCGACTCCACAATCTATTTCTACAGAGAAGAGGGGCTGCGAACAGGCGATAGGGCTGACACGGGGAGGCACGGGGAGGGGACACGTCTGGAAGCTGCAACGTGCATACCAAGTGGATACATTTTTTTTAATATTAAAAAATCCAGATTGCGTGCTTATCTTAGGGGGGCCCAGGGAGACTGAGGGCAAGTTTGGAAGCCGCGATGGCACACAGCGGGTTGACTCGGGGAAGGGGCGGGGTGCGATGATGGCTACTCAGGGGGCCAGCGCTGGGAAGTGCCCCCGGCCACCCCACCGGTGCCCAAAGGGGCGGAAACGCAGACGGGTTTTACCCGGGGCCTGGGATATCTCCCTCTCTGTTTTTTTAATGACTAGGATTGTGGAGAATAATAAAAGACCAGGGCCCAGCTGGGCAGGCCGGCCGGGCCGGGCCACCCACGCTGTCATCTTTTGTGAGGGGTAGGAGGGGACGCCCCGGCCCAGCCTCCGCGCGCCCCCGGCCCGGTCGGGGCGCCTCCGCCCCCCGTCTCGGCCCAGCCATTGTCCGGCCGCGCCGCCCCCGCCCGAGGCCCGGCGGGCGCCCGGGGCCGGACGGTTAACGCCCCCAACCGCCTCGCGGGCCGGGACAAAGCGCTGCGGCCCGACCCGAGCAGGCCGCGCCCGAGGCCTGGGCCTCGCGTCCGGGGCGCCCGCGCGCCCGCAGCACCGGGCGCGGCGCGGGGGCGGCAGCAGTGGCGGGGCCCGCGCTCGGACGCGGCGGCCGCCTCCCCGCGGGCTCACCTGAGGCGGCGCGCGCGGCCCGGTCCAGAGCAGCGGCGCGCGCTCCCCCGCCCTCGACGTCGTACCCCCAGGCCCGCTCGGGCCGGGCCCCGCTCGGTCGCTGGCGGCCGAGCCCTCCGCGAGCGCTCCGGGCGGGGCTTATGAGGCGGTGCGCCAGCTCCGCCCCGGCTGCCATTGGCCCCCGAGCCCACGCCCGCGCACCCATTGGCTACCGCTGACAGCTCCGCCCCTCCCCTCCGCCGGATCCATCAACACCTCACGGCCCGCCCCCTGCGCGCCTCGATTGGGCGGGTGCAGGCGCTGGCCTCGTCTCCGCATTGGCCACACGGTCTGGACACGCCGGTGCCCACCCACGTGCCCGCTGACCGGCTCCGTTCTCATTGGAGGTAGCGCACGCCAGCCAGGTCGGCCGGGACCAACCCGAAAGTGACTAGGCCCCGGATTGACAAGGACGCCTCGGGGACCGCCCAACGACCGCTCGGGGGCCAGAGAGGATTGGCTTGCGGAGTCAGTCCGAGGCTCAGAATGGCTGGGGCAGGTGCCAATCACGCCCCGGGCCCCGCCCCGGTTATCAGGCTGCAACTGAGTACGTGAGACCCAGCACAACATCAGCACCCATCCCGGGAATCGTGGAGAAGGGGTTCGAGACCCGAAGAGGGAAATTGGACTCCGCGGTCCCTAATCTGTAAAGTCCAGGGCTGGTAACATAACTCCTATGAAACCCATTTTGCAAACGAGGAGACCTGAGAACTGGAGAAATAAAGTCAAGCAGCAGGTGTCCCCCCACCCTTCCTCCAAAAAACCAAGTTCATTTCCATCACAATTAATAAATCTTTGCAAAAGAGCAAGACCTTACGGATAAAGTTAGGTGCCCTCCCCGGGGTTCCCTACAACATAAGGGAGGAGAGAAGTTTGGTGCCACCTGACCTAAGTTCAAAGCTCAGCTGAGCCTCCATACCTCACTGTGGGTGGCCACCAGAAAAGTAATTTCTCTGGCCCTCAGTTTACCCTTTGAACTGGATATGATGGTAATACATCCACCACCACCACCATCACCATCTGTCCTTCTAGGAATCTTGCAAAAATGAAGCGGGACGGGGCACGCACGTAAAGGGTTTGACCATGTGGCTTCGAATAGCGTGCATTTACTTGGGGTTCGCCATGACCATCATTAACTGAGTACCAGACAGTAATGTGGGCACGCCCCATTTCGGCGCCCAAAGGGTGAATCCGGTGATTGGACATTTTCTGGTAACATGTTAAGTGTATCTACACTGTAGTCCTAGAGGTCGTGTACCCCGAGAAATGCTTCCAAGCTTGCATAGCTCAAGGATGCTTGCTGCAGCGCGCTATGCAATTTCTTCCAACGTCTTGCTCTAAATACCCATCAGTAGGGGAGTAGGTAACTTGTGGTGCAGTGTGCTCCGAATATTTCTATGTAGCAATTAAAAAGGAGGTAGATCTGATATGTACTGTCCTGGAACATCCCCTACACGCTTTGTGGGGCAAACTGCAAAATGGTCCAGAATTTTGTATCCAATAACATACACTATGCAAAGGAGCCCAGAAAAACCAACGTGGTTTCTGAGAGCACACACCTGTGGTCAATGCACAGAAAAAGACCACCCCCAAACCGAGAAAACGAAGTTAATCTCTGGGGAGAAGAGAGATCCCCATTGGGAAAAAGGGTAGTCGGTGGGGACTTTAGTCTGTTCTGCAGTGTTTTAAATCCTCATGGGATCATATTCATATATTCCTTGTGTAGTTAAAATTTAACTTAAAAAGTAGGAAATAGTAACTTCCCCCAAGGAACTCCCTGGCCAGTGGGAAAGACAGAAATAGAATTTGATTATGGTAACACAGGATCCAAAGGGCAATAATGAAGGGATTTTTCCCACATGCACAAGCCTTTTGTCTACTTCCAAGTTTGTAAGACAGGGAATTCCAGGTGTTTGGATTTCAAGTGTAGGCTTGGCGGACAGGTGCAAGTCTCTGATGGGGGGCTGGGCCTGGGAATCACGTTTGGGAATCTCTCCTTAAACAAAGCCAGAGACCCTCTGGCACTGGCCTTCCAGCAGGGTGGCCGGAGGCCAGCTCATTTCTAACCCGTCTTCATGGTCCCTGAATGTGAAATACTTCAGGCTTTACCAGACTTCCCTCCCATTTATGGGTTGGTTAAGGCATAAAAAATAGAGAGGTGTGGAAAGATAGATCTCCTATGTGCTTAAAAAGTGAATTTTTATAACTACATTTGGGGGAATTCTAACATTGTGTTTCACGCCAAGCCCATATTGCTGAACACGTGTCACGTGTTTCATTATGAGAACAGATAATACAAACATGCATACACCAGACCACGTGTTCTAAGGTGCTAGACAAAGTGGCTACTTGACGAATTAACTGAAATTAATAGAAAACTGGGCACAAAGTATATTTAGCCCTGTCCTAATCTTTTCAATTTATATATAAAATATATGGAGAAGTATATATAAATATGTATGTACCCTGGCTTTGATATATCCTTGGGTGTGTGACTTAACCTCTCTATGCCTCCACTGCAAAATGACTGAGTAAAAACTCGACTGGAGAGTTTTTTGAGGTTGAGTAGTACAGTACCAACACATACAGGTATACAAGTAAATGTTAACCTGCTGGGGGCCAGATTATGTATTTTTACTTTTTCATCATACATTTAGTTTCCAAATGTTTAATTATATAATGTATTTTAACATATCCTATTAATAACAATTAATTTTATAATGTGGGGTGGAGGGAGAGAAGGAACAAATTTTACATTAAGTCAACCAGGTGGATTTAAAAAGGTGCTAAATACAATGGAATGTTATTCAACCTTAAAAGAACGGAGTGAAGCTGACACACGCTACAACATGGACGGACCCTAAAAACACAATGTTCGGCGACGGACGCCATACACAAGGCCACAATGTACAATCCCATTTATGTGAAATGTCAAGAATGGATACCCAGAGACAGAAAGTGAATTTGTGGTTGTCAGGGGCTGGAAGTGGGGAATGATGGCTAATGGGGACAAGGTTTATTTTTGGGGTGGTGGAATGTTCTGGAACGAGGGGATGGTTGCACAGCTCAATAGACTAAAACCCACTTAACTGTGCATTTTAAATGGGTGAACTTTATGGTAATGTGAAATATATTTCAATAAAGCTGTCAGACAAAAATAAAAACAAAAAAACCAGGAAAGAAATATGCCTAATATTGTGATTATTTCTGCATGGCATTTTCACAAATGCTTTTCTGGGTTTTGGTAACTTTAAACAATGACATTGTTCTTAACTTCTAAAATGAGGAACACACCAAAAAACCTGGCCATCTCGACAATGAACCCACCTCAGTGTATGCATCCTGTCCCTGTGCAGGACCTGCCTGGGGACATTTACAGAGGTCCCACAGCTCCTCATAGCTGGCCATCTTTCCTGTTATTACATGGCCACACTGGGCATATTTTTTTTTTGAGACAGAATTCATATAATGTACACTTCATCCATTCGAGGTAATTCAAAAGATTTTAATATATCCACGGGTATGTGCAACCATCACCAAATTTGGAGTTTTGTCACCCCGAGAAGCAGCTCCGTACCCTGCAGCTGTCACCCCACCCCCTCCCCACTCCCTAAGCAACATTGCTAGGCTTTTCTGTCCCTATCGATCCTGTGTTGGAATTGCACATGAATGAGATCATATAGTAAGTGATCTTTTGTGAATGCCTTCTCCCACTTGGCGTCATCTCTTTCCAAGGCCAGGCACACTCGCCCCATTTTAAGGACCAAAGGAGAGAACTTTTTTTTCACTAAATCACATCTGCCCACATCATTACTTAACCATCAGTAAAAGGCAGCAGTTAACAGGCCCATGCCAGCAGCTGCCTCTGCAGAATTCAGCACGACTCCCTTCCCGGGAGCTGATCTGTCAACTTGGCTCAAAAGGCCTCTGACTTCTGCTGGCAACAGCAGTTCAGATGGTCAGTCCCGGAACCCCTTTAGGCCTCAATTTCCCCCGGCCTGCAGAGAGCCCCTTCTAGGATGAGGCAACTTCTCGGTTGCTGATTTGGGCTGGTGATGCCCAGTCAAGGCAGAGCCACTCTCCCAGTGCTGCAGGTGTGTGCGTCGGGGAGCCAATCGCAGCTTCGGTTTCCTCAAATGTAAATGGGGGCGGTACCACCCACCTTGGTGAGAACTAAATGGCTGCTGCACACCACTTTGGACTCTTCTAGGTCTTTGCCTTCTCCTCTGTGATGTGGGCATGATGTTACCTGCCTGGTCTGTCTCCTGGGTTTTTAAGAGAACATGCAGTAATAAGAGCAGACCCACCCAGTGGGCTAGGAAGTGATTTGCAAACAAGAAAACAAACCAAGTGCATCTATAAAAGACATTTATTCTGAGCATCTAAAATCTGGACAAAGAATATTGAGCTTTTTAGAAAACACCTACACAGAATTTTGTTGTTTCTCCCTAATACATTAATAACCTAGGCAAGGAGGGAAGAAGAAAAACCTTAAAAACAATATTGCTCCAGTTTGTCTGCAGTTGTAATTTAAAATATCCTGTTCTGTTGAGGTATAAGCTGCAAACTTTGGTAGTTAGAAAAATTAACAAATCATTTCAAAAAAATACAAAACCAACAAAATAAAACAAAACAAACCCTAAGTCATAGCTTTCTTAGTACATATACAGTAACTACAAAAAATTTTTCATTTAGAAAGTGTTTATTAAAAAAAGAAAATTCCCTCTTATAAGTCTCAATGGGTGAGTTGAAAATGCACTGTCGAGGACCAACGAAACTCAAAACTATCCCCAAACACTCACCTAGAATTGGGAAGAACTGGTTAACCACAGTTTTAGAATCTGGTTGGCATTTTCAACAATTCAGTGCTAAAAAAGAGCCCCATGTTTAGAAAGAAACAAAGGCACTTGAACATGGCTTTGTCCACTACCGTGGTGTGGTTCCACGTTGGCACCGCACACCCAGCCCCCACGAGAGCCCAGTGGAGGTAGTTTCTGTGGCCTCTGCTCCCTGCTCACACAGGCAGAGGACCCTGCGTGCAGCTCTTGAACCCGAGAGCAGACTGGTGGTGGGTGGCTTTGAGGCAAGGGCTTATAAGGGGCCAAATGGGATTTTTCCTCTTCCTTTCAACAGGTTCCTGGTGGGTGACAGCAGGGACCCTCCACGTCCAGGGCCACCGCCGGACACCGCCTTGCTGGGTTTTAGGTGATACAATGCTGTCCTGAAGATGTGCTCGCTTTCACCGCAAACCTCGGAAAGATTGTTCTCGGCAGCCGGACGCCTCATCCCTGGCTGGTGGCTTTGACGCTGGGGACATGAGCAGCCTTCACACCCAGTCGTTTCCCATTCCATCTTCGGAAAAAAAACGTGTGTGTTTTCTGCTGATAAATCACAGGCTTTGTGTTTTTTTAAAAACCAAATAAAATGCTGAGAAGTCTAACTTTCTTTCTTTCTTTGAGCCATAACACAAATTCCTGAAAATTGACATTAAAAAAAACAAAAACAAAAACCAGGAAGACGAGGCTTTTTAGGGAATGGAGGAAAAACTACATGTTTAATTTAAGCCCACTAAAAACAAAATAGGGGCCAAAGACCCCTCTGATACATTTTTTTAAAAATAGCCAAAAAGAAGTGCTTGGAGATCATCGTCCGCTGCCGTAGCCGGGGAAGAGCTCGTTGAGGATGGCCTGCAGGGGCTGGTTCACCTGCCTGGAGTAGCTCCGGCCCAAGTCATAGCGGCAGGCCGGGCAGCTGAACACCTGCGCCCTGAACGACCTGTCCAGGCAATCCTGCGAGAGAGAGCAGGTGGTGAGAAGTGCCAACCAAATGCCATCGGGGCCACCACTGTCGCTAGGGACAGTGTCAGGAGGAAGTGGAGACTCACAGGGTTCAGAGGCCCCTCCAAACCCTCAGTCTTACTTTCTACCACCGGTCTGGCCTCCCTGAAATCTCTTGAAGACGCCACGCTCACCCTGCCCTCCAGGCCTGGCCACTTGCAGATCATAACATCTAACAGGTTTGTCCCTTAGCTCTCGCCACTCTCGCCTCAGCTCAAAGCACGTCCTCAAGAGGGCACGTCCCCCAACGACACTGACGTATCAGAGGCGGCCCCACTGCAGCCAGTCCTATCACCTCCCCATTTATCTCAGAACAGCACCTTCCACCTTCTGGAATCGTCTTGTTTACAAGTGTGCTTGTGTGAAACAGGCCAGGCACTGCCTGCGATTAGAGGCTGTGTCCGCTGACTCTCCCAGCAACCGAGCACAGGACCTGACACATAGTAGATGCTCAATTACGTTCCCCTGTGCAGGGAGGGAGGGAGGGAGGAATTCTGACCCTAGAGGCCCTAGAGCCAGACTTCTGGGTTTGAACCCAATTCTCAACCAAGTGATGCGGGCGGAAGAAAGGCAGGTGGAGAAAGGGTAGGGGGCAGACAGGCTGCGAGAGGCAGCGGTCCGATCAGAGGAACAGGGAAGCCCCCACGCGGCCAGAGGCGAAGCACATGATGTGTGGGTGCCTGCACAGGTGCAAACACCTGAGGGATGGCACGGGGCAGCTGCGTGAGGGAGTGAAAGCATAGCAGAAGCTTGCTGGCATCATGGCGCTTTTAATGCCCGGATGCAGGCTGCAGGTTTTGCTTCCGATTTTAAAAATCTGAAACCTTTTTTCCAATAGAAAGTGTGTGGCCTGGACTCCAGAGACAAAGGTTGCTTTTTCTGCTCAACACAACTAAGATTTGGGTCCACATTCAAAGATCAGGTTCTGAGCTGCTGCATGATTCACAATAGCCAATGGTGGAAACAACCCAAGAGAGCGATAGATGAATGGCTGAACAAAATACGGTGCGTACGTACAATGGAGTATTATTCAGCCTTAAGAAGGAAGGACATACTGATGCCTGCTACAACGTGGATTGACCTTAAGGACATGGTGCTCAGTAACATAAGCCAGACACAGGACAGACCCTGTCTGATCCCCCTCCTAGGAGGTCTCTAGGGAGCTCAGTCCACAGAGACGGAAAGTGGCTGGCGGGTGAGTGTTTCATGTGGACAGAGCTTCCGTTTGGGAAGCAGGAAAGTCCTGGAGATGGCGGGGGTGGCTGCACATGTAAATGTGTTTCATGCCACTGAGCTGTGCTCTTAGAAATGGTTAAGATGGTAATAAACTTTGTTATGTATACTTCACTACGGTAAAATAACTTTCTAGTAGAGCAAAAAACAAAATCAGGCACTGGGACATCAGGGTGGAGGGCCAGAGCCACTTTCCCGTGAGCCCCCCAGGATGCTGGCCTTCTTGGAGGTGTACCAGCAGGGACGGATGGACAGGACAGACACATCACTACCGGCAGCCCCTTCCTCTGCAGGGTCAGGGATCTAGTGGCACGTGTGATCGACGCCCTGGGATGCTCGGTCCCTGAACTCCCTGACTGGCTCTGCTTCTGGGGTGGGGCCGGGCCCCACCTCGTAGTGGCAGCCCCGGCGTCTCAGCCTCCACCTGCCCCCCGGCTGAGTGCTTGCTCTTCTGCACGCAGCGCGGGAGCCGGAAGCTGGCCAGGAGGGTGCCTCCCACAGGACACAACTGAGGCTCAGAGGAGGGAGGCAGCTTTCCAAGGTCTCACAGCTGGAAGAGGCAGAGCTGGGGTGGGCCATCAAACGCAAAGACCCACGCCCAGCCAAGCTCTTCCTCCAAGCACACAGGTGGTGATGAGGTGTCTCTCCCGACCACAGAGCTAAAGGCGTCACCAGGCCACGTTGGTGTGGCAGGGCAGCAAAGCACAGGGCCTTCCCTAGTCCCCCAAACTGCTGAATGTTCTGTGAGTCCTTCCCCTGGTGGATCCTGCACTGAGATGGCCCCCAAGGCCAGGAAGGGGGCAAGGCTGAAGGCAAAATGCTGGCAGCTCCGAGACCCAGGGTGATCACAGGGGGGACAGGCCCTCGTAAAGCCGCCTGCCTGCACCGCCTCTAAGTTCCTCCTGACTGAAACTGGCCAGGACACTGCAAAGACACCATTCATGCAGACCAGTGCTTCCCAACTGGGCCATTCTGTCCCCAAGGGACACTGGGCGTGTTGAGGACACCTGTGGCCACAACTGGAGATGCACCTGGCACCAAGTGGGTAGGGGTTGGGGTGCTGCTCACCCCCAGAGGGTACCCAGGACAGTGTCAGCCCGCTGAGAGAGAGGCTTTGGTCCAGCCTCATCTCAGCCCGGCCCAATCTCTCTCAGTCATACTGTTTCCCTCCTGTGACTGGTCACCAGTCAGAACCTATGGCCCCACCTCCTGGCCCGGCTCCCCAGCCCGTCATCCCCTACAGGCCCCAGCTGCTCTGACCTGCCTGCCTGTCCAGGCTTCTCATGTGCCATTCTGCCTACCTGGGATGCTGCATTGAGACGCTCTTCAGATGCAGATTAACACCACCTCCTCCAGGAAGCCTTCCTTCCTACTTCTCTATGGGCCAAGCACCTGATACCTGTCTAGCCGGGTCTACAGCACACTTATTCATCACTTATGACAAGCAGACCTCTGGCCAGGACTGCAGCCGGTCCTGGACCCCAGTCACACAGGAGGCTGGGGCAATGCCTGGGGGTCAGGAGACCCAGCACAGTCGCCTAGGGCTGGCAGGCAGCAGCCTGTGGAGGGGCGGGCAGAGGGCCAGTGTGGCTGGAGGTCCCAGGTGTTGCATTTTACCCCAGAGCCCTGGGAGTACAGGAGCGTGCAGAGCAGAGGACAGAGTGATCAGAGGCCCTGAGAAAGGCCGGGAGGCTGCCCGGAAACAGTGAGGCCTCATGAGGGGGCAGAAGCGAAGGCAACCAGCCCAAGCCAGGCCTGTGGCAGTGCGAGGTCAGATCTCAGAGCACCTTTCCAGCACCTTCGATCCGGCTCCCACGGTTGCCCCTCACCTTGCACACATTGTGTTGGCACACGGTTGTGATCGGGCGGAATACCAGCTCCTGGCAGCAGATGCACTGGAAGGTTTCCTCCACTTTACTCAGGAACTTCTGGAACTAGAGAGAGCATGTGAGAGCAGCGCCCAGGCGTCAGAATGAACGGCCACCTTTGGGGAAGGCAGAACGGCAGCTCCCCGTGAGGCCCAGGCCCTGGATCCCCGGATTTCATTAAGTTAAGGACACTGAGGTGGCAGAATATTCTGAATTATCCAGGGGGGCCAAGTGTCCTCACAAGGGTCCCCACCAGAGGGAGAAGTGACACCGAGAGAAGGTCGTGTGACCACAGAGGCAGAGGCTGGAGGGATGCAGCCACCAGCCAAATGCACATGCTCCCAAAGCTGGAGGAGGCAAGGAGCTGCAACTCTCCGTAGGAGCCTTTAGGGGGCCCAGCCCTGCCTGCCTGCATATTAGCCCCGAAAGGCTCATCCCTGGGGGCTTCTGGCTTCCAGAACTGCAAGAAATAAACCTGTGTTGTTTTGAGCCCCTAAGTGTGTGGTCATTTGTCCTGGCAGCCGACAGGGAGTCCAGGACTGTAGGGGGGGAGGGGCTGAGGCCAAGGGCAGAGGCCCTGCACTGGGATGACGGGCAGGAAGGGCCAGGGCAGTGTCAGAAATAACAGGCAGACGGCCCAGGGTTTGGGCTGGACTCCGAGAGTGGGCGGCTGAAGGCCAGTTCCTACCAGGTGGGGGTGGCAGCCAGGGAACACAGTCACCCACTGTGGCGGCCCATTTCTGTCACCCAGCCCTGCTCAGGTCAGGACTGGCGATTCCTCGGAATGTGGAACACAGAAGGACCTGCAGGCCCAGCAATCCCGCTACCGGGTTTATACCCAAGAGACCGGACAGCAGGGACTCCGTCAGGGGTCTGCACCCCGTGTTCAGTGTGATTCACAGGAGCCAGGAGGCGGGAACAACCCAAGTGTCCATCAACAAGTGGATGGATAAAGTGTGGTCCAGCCACACGCCTTACAAAGGAGGACATTCTGACACCTGCTCGGCATGCATGGGCTTGGGGACATCATGCTCATTGAAATAAACCATACACAGAAGGGCAGATCCCGTCTGACTCCAGTCCTAGAAGGTCCCTGGAGGAGCCACACCCACAGAGACAGAAAGAGGCTGGGGGAGGGGAGGAGAGTGAGTATTTCATGGGACAGAACGTCCGTTCGGGAAGATGGAAAGTTCTGGAGACGGAGGGTGGGGACGGCTGCACACCATGAGCGTGCCTCACGCCGTGAGCTATGCACTTACGGACAGTTCAGATGGTGACTATGTTATCTCTACCTCCTCACATGAGGACAGTGAGGGGATGGCTGCCGGGCAGGCAGGGGGCGCTCACCGGGCCATCCTTGAGGGACTTCAGGATCTCGCTCCACAGCTTAGCGTTGCTCCTGTCCTCCTTGATGAGGCTGCTTTGCTGGGCCGAGAGGCTGTAGGGCTCCACCTTGGGTTTCTTGGGCGTCCCCTGTGGGGACCCGGGGCTGGCCTTGCCGCCTTCTGGAACAGAGTGGGCGGGTGAGAGCGGGCAGGTGGCCCCGCGCACAGGTGCACGGGTAGAAGGGTCACCAGCCAACACACCCACCTGCGGACGGGCTCCTCCGCTTGCCCTTCCCCTTCCCGGGGGACGTGAAGTCCTGCTCCTCCTCCTCCTCCTCGGCCTCCGTCTTGCTGTGCTCCTTCTCCTTCCTGGCCAGGGCCTCCAGATAGCCTTCTGGGTACTGCCAGAGGGTGGGGACACTGCTTCAGACTACTGGAGAGTTGAGGAGGGACCCAGACTTCCTGTGCAGTCTGGGGTTCAGGGAGGGCCCCACCAAGCCACCGGCCACCAGGTGGCACCTTGTGCCACCCCGGCCCCAGGTGCCACTCCGGCCTCAGAAACTTAAGACTTCTTTCTGGCTCCAGCTCAGCTCAGAGGCCTCCTTGGAGCAACTCTGGGGCCTTAGGCAAAACCTCGCTGATCAAGAGGATTTCCTAGGGAAAAAAGGGCGAGTGGCACAAGCCACCGCTGACAGGGTGGAAGCAAAGCATTAAGGGAGACGGTGTGTGGAAGATGAGTGGCACCAGGCCCAGCCAGGAAGACAGTCTTGCTATCCCTTCGTGGTAGACAGACATTTCCCTCAAGGGGCCAGCTAGCACATCCCACCTGGGGACTCTGAGCCCTGCTGCAGCTCAAAAGCAGGCCCAGCCCAGAGGGGAATGACTGGGCATGGCTGTGCCCCAAGATAAGTCCATTTACAAACAACTGGCCTCAGGGCCTTTGCTCAACAACCCAACCCAACCTGTTCTGACGGATCTTGGGCTCCTCCAGGTCCTAACAGGCATGATTTGGTTAGGACCCCACCTCTAAGACATCTACGATCCTATGGGATTCTCCAACGTCTCAAGAAATCAGGTTTCTTCAGCAACACTGAGCTGCAATGAAGACTTAAGTCATAAATAAAAATCCTACTCTCACCAGACACTACCACTCCCATCCCGTGTCTATTTCTCTCCCCAGCAACTCAGCTTCTGAAATTCCCTGTGGTACAAATATTAGGTTCAGAAGACAAACTCTTCGTGACCCCCCCAGGGGGTAGGCGCTATCAGACTCTCAATAGCAATTAAGATTCCTTAAATAGTCCCACCACGAGTTATCAGCTATAAAGCAACTGCCATAATGAACAGAAAACACCATAATTACTGTGCAAAACAGCCAGCTCCCGCACCGGGGACGGCTGGTCCCGGAAGAGGGGAGGCGGCGCTGCTATGAAGAGGTGAGCGACCCCTCAGTGGGGTCATGCCTCCTTATCTGTGCATCTAGACCTCTCTGTGTTCCACCGGTTCTGCTGGTTTGTTTCTGCGTTTTTGGAGGAGGGAAGGGGAGAGAAGCAGAGAGGAGGGGAGAAGGCAGCCAAAACAGAGCAGAGAGGACTCCAAACAGCTTCCAAACTCCCCCATCACACAGCCCTGCTAAGGAAGTCTGGCTCTCGACTCTAAAACTAGCAACCAAACGATTCCCATTCCATATCTGCTGGCAAAAGAGCGAATGGCATAGCCAGCAAGGTGCGAGCAGCTGGGCCACATCCGCCTGGACGCTGTTCAGGAGAGAGACCCAGAAGCACCCCCGGCCAAGGCAGGCTCCAGCTGGCTGCGCTCTCTGCCAGGATCCCCACGACCCAGCTCTGCAGCCAGTAGGTGCCGGTGGGCCAGGGCAGGCTAGAGCCGGCCTCCCAGCCCGGAAGTGGAGGGGCCTGGACGCACCTGCATGGTCAGCCCCAGCTTTCTGATCCGGTCTTTCCCCTCCTTTGTCCAGGGGCCAGGCTCAGTGTCGTCCCTCCGGAGTAGATAGCGCCACACAAGGAAGCCAGACTTGCCCTTCTCTGGCCAGTACCTGACGACCTGTGGAAAGTGAGGTCGGCTATCAGTGTCACCTGCGGCTGCAGGGCTGAACGGGCCGGGGCACGGGCAGGGCCCTCACCTTGTAGATGCCGTCATACCGGTTGCCCTCCACGGGGGCATATTTGCTGTGCTTGCGGCCCTTGACGTTGCGCACCACCCGCACAGGCTTCCCTGACCGCCAGTCCTTCGCCTCTGCCCCTTTGCGGTCGTTGATGGGTGCACTGCAGTTCAGAGCCAGGGCCCTGCGGGGAAAGCGGGGCCCCACATTGTAGGTTGGATTGCATCCCCAGAAGGAGAGGGCTGAGTCCTAACCCCAGCGCCTATGAAAGTGACCTTCTTTGGAAAGAGGGTGCTTGCAGATGGGGTCAAGTTCAGAGGAGGTCGGAATGCATCAGAGGAGGTCGGAATGCATTAGGGTGAGTCCTAAATCAATGACTGCTATCTCTAAGGGGAAACACATACATGCAGGGGAGACAGCCATCTGCAGATGGAGGCAGAGGTCGGAGTGATGCGTCTACAGGCCACGAATGGGAGGAGACGCTGGGAGAGCCACAAAGGGCTATCCCCTAGAGGTTTCAGAGGGAGCACAGCCCTGCTGACACCTTGATTTCAGACTCTGCGCCTTCAGAATTATTCGAGATTTCTTGTTGTTTTAAGCCACCCACAGTGTGGAATTTGGTTACTAGAGCCGCAGGACACTAACACACCACGTGGGGAAGACACCATAAAGAAAGAACGAGGGGGTGCAAACATGGGTGAGGCTGGCAGGTCTGTCCCACCACAGAGCAGAGGCCCGGGACAGACAGACCAGAGGTCAGGCTCAAGGCGTTCACGCAATGACGCCATCCGCATCGGCAGTGTATGAAAATGCGCCCCATCTCCATAGCTGCCCCATGAACAACAGCACTTTGTAAAGAACAGATTTCTTCAACTTTTATGTCCAGATTTTATCACTTAATATTAGCTCATGAGCAGTTCCTCACATCATTAAATCTTTTCTGAACACGGGATTTTTAGCAGCTACTGAAACTAAAATATCCTATTAGACAAATAAATGTGCAACAATGAACCCTGCTCCCTTTTTCTCTAGATATTTAGTTACTGGCATTTTGCTGTCTTAGATAACAAAATGGTAAACACTACCACATATAAAATTTTCATCTCTCCACATCTTTCTATGTGCTTTCAAAGCAGAATTACAGGATCATGAGTAAGAATGTTTTCATGGCTCTTCATCTGTATAGGCAGAGCTTTCCAGAAAGATGGTACCTATTTGTATTTCTACCAACAGTGCCCCACTAGTCTAGGCCTTGGTATTTCTCAGCATTTTAGAATTTTGGGTCAATTTCAGAGGGGAAACGAACAGTATCTCACAAATGCTTCCATTTATATTTCTTCAATTACTAAATGTGAATAATTTTTCATGGTCATTGGAGATTTGCCATTTATATTGTGAATGATTTGCATGTCCTTTGCTTTCTTCCACTACTTTTTCTTCTTGAGTTAAAACAGCTCTTTATATATGATATAACCATCATGTGTCATGTTTGCTGCACTTTTCCCCCTAACTGTCATCTGCCTTTTCATTTTACTTACAGACTTTATTGATGAAATTTATAATACTTAAAAGTCATCAAGTTTCTGTCTTTTCCTTTGGGCTTAATAATGGTTTTTTTTTTGTTTTTTTGCTTACAAAGTCCCTCCCCATCCTGCAATCAGGGGTCAGCAAACTCTGGCCTACCAGTTGGTTTTACAAATAAAGTTTTATTAGAACACTGCCATGCTCATTCATTTAAGTATATTCTGCAGTTGCTTTCATGCTCTGACAGCAGAGTTGAGTGATTACAACAGAGACCGCCACGTGGCCTATAAAACTGAAAATATTTATTATCTGGCCTTCCCGGGAAAAAGTTTTCTTTAATGCATCTCAGTGACTCAGAAGTCTTTATCAGACACAGAAGGGAAGAAACATGTTTGTCACCCTGTGTTCCACTACATTCTTAATGGGAATCTGACTTCCTGGACATGACATCGCGAAACAGAATCAACTCCCTCCCCTTTGCAGCTGCCCAAGGACAAGGCAGAAGGGTTGTTGGTGAAATAAGAAAACCTGTTTCTTCAAACCTGTTGGTGTTGGTGAGTTTCTGATCACAAGACTGTTCTGCAGTCCTCTTGTTGCCGGAAAGATCTCGACCACCACTACCTGTGTACGTGAAAGAATTCCCGTGGTCCTGAAACAGAGAAGGGCAAGCTGAACCTGCCACGCAGAGAGGAGACAGTCCATGGGAAACAAACCCACGCACACCCGTCAGGAAGTCAACTGTCAGAGAAACGGAAAATAGGAGGTGGTGAGGATGTGGAGAAACTGGAACCGTGTGAGCTGCTCACGGAAATGGACCACAGCACAGCTGCTGTGCAAACTGGGAAGTTCCTCAAAACATCAAACACAAAATATAGGACCCAGCAATTCCACTTCTGGGTCTATGTCCAAAGACCTGAAATCAGATCTTGAAGGGTATTTTATACCCATATTCACAGCAGCAAACCATAGAAGCAACCCAAGTGTCCATCGGCAGATGAGCGGATGCACACAACGTGGTCCACGCACACACTGGGGCCCGGCTCAGCCTTTAAAAGGAAGGACAATCTGACACCATGGAGGACCTTGGGGACACGGTGCTCAGTGACATAAACCAGACACAGATGGACAGATCCTGTCTGATCCCACTTCTAGGAGGTCCCCGGAGGAGCCCCATCCACAGAGACAGAAAGTGGGTAGTGGGGCCGGGGGCTGGGGGCTTAGTGTTTCATGGGGACAGAGTTTCAGTTTGAGAAACTAGAAAGTTCTGGAGATGGAGGGTGGGGATGGTTGCACAACAATGTGTTTCATGCCCTTAGCTGTGTACTTAGTCATGGTTATATGCTTTATGTGTACCTACCACAGTAAAAATAAATACCTCCCCCAGCGCCACAAACACTCACCACATCATCCTCGTACCCCCCAGCGAGGACCAGGGAGTAAGCCCCATCGCTGCTCCGGCCATGGATGCCCGCCACGTGAGGTCGATGGACGCCTGCCTCGCTGACCTGTGAAAAACACCAAGAAATTACTGGCACCTTCTTGTCTGGCCGCCACAGAAAAGCTCCAGCCCAGCCTCTGTGCTCCCGCCTTCACCCGTGGCCTGACTCTTCTGCTGAATACATCTCGCCTGTTAGAGAGCCACTCCCCCAACGGCCTGAGTCCAAGCCACGCCAGGGCCCCGCTGGCTTGCAAGGAGCCCTTTGCCGGGGAAGTGCAGCTTCTGGAAAGCCAGTGAGGCCAGGGCCTGCTGGCCGAGCCAGGGAGCCGGGGTGTTCGCAGGTACCTGGACTCTGAACCTCCACATGGTGCCCACGGGGATGCCCGGGATGGGTCCGTAGTGGTTGGATGGGACGATGGTGCACTCCTTGGTGCGCCCCACGCACGCCATGCCCTGTCCATCCGGAAACAGCGAGGGAAGAGTGCTATGAGCACCCGTGGGGGGGTGGAGAGGGCAGAGGGGGTGCAGCGGCAGGGGCCCGCCTCACCTTGCCCCAGTCTCGCTGCGAGGACGACGTGGCCGATGCCATCTTTGCCTTCTTCTTGCTCTCCTTCAGCTTCTCCCCTGCCAGCACCACCTCACTGGCGTCGTTCCGACACTCGGGGCAGTACCTGCGGCAACGGGGATGTCACCCCCAGCCCCGGCCTGGCCTGCACCCGCTGGCTCTGTTCGGTGCACTGCCGTCCTGTGCTGTCCAAGGAGCGGTAGGGGCCGTGGAACTTTAAACTCATTAATGTCAAGGAAGACATCCAGGTCCTCAGTCACGTGGGCCACGTCGGGTGAGCAGTGACTGCGGTGGGCAGCGGGGCGGGAGCGTTCCCGTCGCCAGAACACTCATTAGGCAGCAGACTGTCATCCCCCCACGCTGATGGGAATTCCCTGGTGCCCCCCGACAGTGAGGGCAGATCCCGCTGGGATGTGGGACACACTCGGGGAAACCCAATGGGCATGTTCCTGCGGCTGTGGAGTCAGTTTCCCCTTCTCCACGGGGCGGGGAGGGGGCCATGCATGAACTGCCACCTCCAAGTGGCACAGACAGGTCTGCTAACAGGCCGCGGTCCTCAGACCAGGGCCTAGCATAGCACAGCCTTTGGACCACGACAGTGGCCACCAGGATGGGCACCAGAATGCCACGGCCCAGAGGCCTGCTCTCTGCTTCCTGCCTGCCAGCTCCAGGCCCACCATTACCCCAAGGCCGAGGGAACACAGGAAGCTCCCTCACGTGTTCTGGTGCTCGCCCCTAGGGGGGCTTGCCAGGTGACAGACGTCCCGGGCCATTTCCCGGCCCCTCCCAGCCCCCGGCACAAAGGCTGTCTCTGGGGCGGCCGCGGCGTCCACTCACCACTCGTTGTCGGCGGGGATGCTGCTGAGGGGCGGGTGCAGGCAGTATATGTGGAAGGCCATGTCGCACTCATCGCACATGAGCTGCTTGTCGGGGTCCTGCTTGCCCCCGCACAGGTGGCAGGCGCACACCCGGCAGGTCCTGCTCTCGTCGTCCTTGCAGTGCTTGCAGGAGGGCCCGCTCTTCCCTGGACACAGGAGGTGGGCTCAGCTCTGGCGGAGCCGGCCAGGCAGAGAGGGGACAGGAGCCCCCGCCCCGCGCGGCAGGCCCGGAAGGGCAGGGCCAGAACTCACTTCGCACTGGGTTTTCAACCACGGGGTCCCCCTCGCCCGGGCGGTCGATCTTGAACACTTCATCCACGAAGATGATCCGACAATCATCGAGAGAATCATCCCTGTGAGAGGCAAGCTGCTAGAACATCCCAGCTGGCTGACCGGCTGAGGGGCCTCAGAGGACTCCGCCACCTAACGTGCTCTCAGACAAACACTTCTGATTCTAAGAGCGTCACCTAAGCGGCTTCATGGAGCTTCTTGCCTAGCTACGCTCCTCGCCATTCAAGTCCTACTAAATCAGGAGGACAAATACAACATCTAAGCCAGAGTTTCATTACATGATGCATTTGAGAGAATGATTTCTAACCTTCAGACAGGCAAAGCCACTGAAACAAGGCCCAACATGCAAAAACCAGAAAGTCTGACCAATTTGCCTACATCACAATATAAAAACTCCTCAAAAGACAAAACACACGAAGTTAAAATGACCCCCAGGGATCAATCTGCACTGGCAACGGTCAATGGAAACTGCATGTAAGCCACAAACATGTATCACATGTGTGATTCTATGCTTCCTGGGAATAAGCACATTCAAAAAGTCAAAACAGAATCCATTTGAGTATGTTTCACGTAACCTGAAGTACACAAAATATTATTTCAACATGGAATGAGTATTAAAGAAATATTAACAAGCTATTTCACATTCATTTTTGGCACTGTGTCTTTGAAATCTGTTGCATACTTTACACTCATGACACATTTCAATTTTTAGCAGTCACATTTTAAGCACTCGACAGCACATGTGGCTCATGGCTCTGAAACTAGATCACGAAGGTCTGGATCTACCCGTCAGTTCACAGGAAGCCCAGGGACAGAGGCACAGAGGAAAATGACACCACGAGGATGCAGATGGCCACACCCCAACTGCGGAGATGCTACAGGACGAATGCCCAGGCTGCTTCAATAAATCAGTTAAGGAAAAGGGGCTAAAAAGGAAAGGACAAAAAAACCTAACGATAAAAGAGATTTACAGGATATCTATCAGCCTAACTGAAATCTGAGGACATGAATTAGACCCTGATCAAACAAATGGCTAAAAAAAAGAGAGAGACCAGGAAGAGACTGAACAATGACTGGATATATGTTATTAAAACATTACGGTTCATTCTCATGTTGTGATAGCATCTTAACTGCGTTTCTTTTAGAGCCATTTTAAAGAACTATATTGTAAAGTGTTCACAGATAAAAAGTTTTGATGTTTGGGAGTTGCTTCAATGAAACAGGGTGGCAACATTCTCAACTGAAGGAAAAGCTTGAAGACCCATTGCTAGCGGACATGCTCTTAGAGAATCACTAAAGGAAGTTCTTCAGATAGACAGGAAATTAAAAGGAAGGAGGAAGAACAAGAGAAAGCAGAAATAGGAGCACCTCCAACAGACTGTCCTCTGTGCGAGTTTTCTAGATCAAGTGTGGTGACTGGAACGAAAGTCGTTAACACTATCTGATCCTCAACAAGAGAGCGTAAAGGGGACGTAAATGGAAGAAAGGCCTTCGCACTTCACTCAGTGGTTTTAAAGTGATGCCCGCATGTCACATGTCATATGGTGAAATCCAGAGAAACCACTAAGAAAACTACACACAGCAAAACACTCAAAAGACCATAAATAAATCAAGAGAAAGTCCTAAAGATTTTAAGTAACCTACAGGAAAGACAGAAGACAACAAATGGGAACAAGAAACAGAGGAGACAGAAAACAAAGAAAATGGCAAACTTAGGCCCTAACATGCTAACATCCACTTTATATGCAAAAAGTCTAAAGCAAAGGCCGGCCTAATGGATTAGAAAAAAAAGACCCAATTACATGCTATTTACAAACTCCAAATTCGACTGTATAGGTTAAAAGTAAAGGACAGAAAGATACACCATGCAAATGTTAACTTAGAAAAAAATAATACATGTGTCAACACATACACACACACACACACACACACTCTCTTCAGATAAAGTGGACTTCTGACCAGGGAAAATTATCAGAAGCAAAGAGACGTTAGGTAATGAGAAAAGGAAAAGGATCATTCGACATGGAAGACATATCCATCCTAAGTGTGATGCATCAAACTTCAGAGCCTCACAGCTGTGAAGCTGAGAAGAGAAACAGACACATCCTCAGTGATAACTGGGCACTTCAACATCCCCCCAGCAAGTGACACAAGTAATAGAAAATCGGCAACAAGAATACAGAAGGTGTGAACAACACAGTCAACAACAGGGTCTGATGGATATAAACAGGACATTCTACCAAACCAAGTTTTTTTTTTTCCAAGCTACCACGGAATATTCGCCAAGACAGACCCTATTTGAGCCCATAAAACAAACCTCAACAAATTGAAAAGGACTGAGACCATAGAATATGATCTTTGACCATAATGAAGACAAACCGGAAATCAATTGACAGAAAGACAATGTGAAATCTCTAAACACTTGGGAATTAAACACAGCACTTCTAAGTAGGCCAGGAGTCTCCCCAAGATAATTTAAAAAGTATAACTGAATAAAAAGGAAAATAGAACATAGCAAAATATGTAGAAAGCAGCTAAGGCAGTGCTGCGAGGGAAATTTATAGCACTGAATACGGACATCGGGAAAGAGATGTCTCAGAGCAAGTTTAAGTTGCTACCCCAAGGAACTAGAAAAACAGCAAAATCAACACCCCTCCCCCCCAAAAAACATCAACAGAAATCCAAAAATTTGAAAACAAGAAAACAACAGAGAGAAGCAATGAAACAAAAAAGCTGGCTATTTCTTAACAATAACCACACTGCAGCATGGCCTGAGCTCCGGGACCTCGTCCCTAAATGCCCACGACAGCCCCCACTGGGGTCCCTGCTGCCACGCTGCTCCCTGCAGTCCATTCCTTGTTCAGACAACGATTCTTAATTTTAGGGCTGACGTTAAGTGGAAGGTGGATTTAGTGTTCCGTGGGAGCAGTTTCAGTTTGGGAAGATGGAAAGTTCTGGAGACGGATGGTGGGGATGGCTGCATGACAATGAGAATGTGCTTAATGTCACAGAACAGGACACTTAATGGTTAAGATGATGTTTTCTGTTATGTATGTTTTAATACACACACACAGAGGCAAGGTAGGACAGGGCCTGGCAAATGTTTGCTGTGGGGGCCAGACATTTTCTGTTTTTCGAGCCACGCGGTCTCTTTCTCAACTGCTCCAACTCTGCTCTTATCACACCAAAGCAGCCACAGGTAACTGGTAGACAGTTGAGTGTGACTGTGTGCCAATAAAACTTTATTTGCCAGAAGAGGCAGAGAGCCGGCTCTGACCTGTGGACTGCAGTCTGCTGATCCTTGATGCGGATGCACCCTTATTTTTCCTTATTTTTGTGAATGTGTATGCTTGTTTACACACAGAATGTCTCCAGAAGGTGGTGAGAACAGTGATTTCTCCAGAAAGGAGAACTGGGTGACCAGGGACAGAGAAGGGAGATTGGCACTGAATGCCCTTTCGTTACTTTCTGGATTTTGATTTGAACTTATCACCTATTTGCCAAATTCAAAGCAACCAACGCAACAGAAAAAGCAAGTTTGAAATGTCCACTGTTGGGGCCTGGGGCACAGAGATGGTGCCACGGGCAGGGGCAAGAGGCGGTGAGCGGCGGCAAGATCCCCAGCGGCGAGCAGGGAGTGCGGCCCAGAGGGGAGGCAGCGAGGCTGGCCGCGCCGCCAAGGGCCTCGCCCAGGGGGCGCTGCGGAGGCCTCGGGGCCCGCGCCACTCACCCGAGCCTGACGTTCGCATACAGCTCCCGCGCCGTCCGGGTCTCGCGCTTCCGCAGGATCTCCGCGTCGTACCAGAAGCCGCGCTCCTTGGGGTTGTCAGGATTGTAGTTGAGCATGACCGCCTGGCCTACCTCCAGCTCATGCCACTTGAGGACGGTTTGGGCACGAGCCCGGACGTCCCGGGAGCTCATCTGGACCACTCCGTTCTCCGGGTAGCTGGGAGGAAAACCCCGTCCTCAGAACCCGAGTGGCCCGGGAGGCAGAAGCGTGGGCAGCGCCGCACACACACGCGTTTCTGCTTTCATCTCTGTAGCAGGAAACTCCCTCCCCGATCATCTCATTTACTGATGTTAAAAAGACACAGGCACAGAAGACACGTTCCAGTTACAGAAACTACCACGGCCTGAACTGTGTCTCCCCCAGAGAGGTACGTTGGGGAGTCCTGAGCCCTGGTGCCTGGAAATGGGACCTTATCTGGAAACAGGGTCTTTGCTGATATAATCAAGGTAGCTGGAGTAGGGTGGCCCCCAAATCCGATGACTGGTATATGCTTGTAAAAAGGGGGAAAGAGACACGGAGAAGAGTGACACACAGAGGGACAAGATACTAGGGTGACATGGCCACCAAGCTGGAAGAAGCAGAGGAGGGAGGACCCTACAAGAGCCTTCAGAGGGCGTGCAGCCCCGCTGACACCTTGACTTTGAACTTCTGGCCTCCAGAACCAGAAGAGAATGAACTTCTGTCGTCATAAGCCGCCAGTCTATGGCAGTTTGTTACGCGGCCCTTGGCAATGCAGCAGGAAATTTCGGGAGGGCATTTAACTTTTTCTACATGCATGTATTGAAAGTAGTTTCTGTAGCAAGATATATATTATTTTGATTACATAAATAAAATACAGTGGGCATGAGAATATAATAGGAATTCCTTATTCTAGATAGGCAGGAATATTCTAGCAGCATCAAAAGAGGCATTAACTAATCGAAACATATTTTAAAAGAAATGCATTCTATCAACAGCACTAAAACTCTTGCTGTAAAGGGGTTGACCCCAAACCCATTATGACTACCTGTGCTCATTATTTTTGCTGGTAAACCACGAAGAACTAGAGTGCCAAACTCCTCCTGTAAAGAGCCAGACAGTAAATATTTTCAACTTGGAGAGCTGAATGTCTCTGTTGTGAATACCCAACTCTGCTACTACTAAGAAAGCGGTCGCAGACAATAGGTGAATGATTGGGCACTGCCGTGCTGCAATAAAGCTTTATTTACAGAAACAGGCAGTGGGCTGGATGCCGCCTGTGGGCCGTTGTTTGCAACCCAAACCGTAAGGGTGGGAATCTGACACTGGGATCCATTCATCCACCAATTACTCCAAAAATTTCTGCACAGCTGAGTTTAGGATGTGCCAGAAACTGGTCTAGGCGGTAGGGCCCCAGCAGGGAAGCAGATCATGAGCCCCCTGCTGGCAGGCAGGCCTGCCCTCTGTTATAGGCTGGATTGGCATCCTTCTAAGAGAAGAGACACCAGCGTGCGCTCTTTCCACGTCCATGCAGAGGAGGGGCAGTGTGAGGACAACACCGTGAGGAGGCGGCCGCCTGCAAGCCAGGAAGAGAGCCCTCCCCAGGAGCCAGCCCAGCCAGCACCGTGGCCTTGCACTTCCAGCCTCCAGCACCGTGAGATGATATATGTCTACCGTTCCAACTACCCAGTCAGCGGCATCTTGTTACGGCCATCGAGCTCAGACACCCTCTGTGTTCACAGACAATTCCTGTGCTTCAAACACAGCAAGTGCTTGATGCTTGAGCACGCCCCGGAGGCAGAGAGGAAACAAGCCCATGGGAGGGGCTCTGTAGCCATATGTGGTGCGAATAAAACAAAACAGGAAACGGGGACCTGAAATGGCCACCAGATGATCACGGCGCGTGCTCTGAGACCCAAGGAGGGGCCCCACAATGCCGCTCCTCTGGGATGGCCTCCTGTGTGGTCTGAGAGCGTGCAGGTGGGGGCCCCAAAATCTGATTACCACCCCAGGCAGCACCAAGGCCCAGGTCCCGCGCACAGGGAGCCGGCACCCCACGCCTGCCCGCCACCCTTGGTGACACTCACTCATCATATTTCACGTGGTAAATGACGTCTTCTTCGGGCGCTGCACTGGAGGTGGAGCTGCAGGGCTCGTCCTGGGATGGTGCCTTCCTGGTCACCCGGACCACCCGAGCCTCAAACCACGCCCCCATGTTCGTGTCCCGAGCGTCCACATACTCATTGACCTGCGAGGACAACAAGAAAACTCATCCGACCTGGAAAGACCCCACCAGCAAGCCCGCAGCAGCCTGTGGAGGTTCTCAGGCACTGGCTGCTCTGGGACTGGGATGCAGACCCACATGCCTGTGACAGGGCTGCTGGCCACGGCCCTGTGGACATGTGGGGCCGGGTCACTCCCTGTGGGAGGCTGTCCTGGGCACTGTGGGGGGCTGCTGAGCAGCACCCTCAGCCCCACCTACTCGATGCCAGAAGCTTCCCAGTCATGACGACCACAGATGTCCCCAGATGGTGCCAAGTGTCCCCTGCCATGCAGCCCAGAACCACCCATTTTTCAAGAGAAGCTGCGAATCCAGGTTTTTTTGATCCTGATTGTGAAATTCCCTGATCTTAAAGGGTGGCAATAGATTCCAAAATTTTATAGCCACCACAAAGGCCACAGAGATGACAGCTGTAGTCCAGACACAGGATCCCAGAGGGACCCTGGACACGGTTTCTGCCAAGGAATCTTCAGGAGCCCAGCCCCTGGGGACGTTCAGGGAAGGACCAGGGGTGCCTGCCTACAGGGAGCACGGCCTGCCCTCATGAGCTTGGGGCTGGGCAGCTGGGAGCCAGCAATGATGGAGGGGCGTGGTGCAGGCTCCCCAGCAACCTGGGGGCTGCACAGATCAGCCAGCATGCCCAAGCTCAACCCTTCTGGGGGAGCCTCACCTTGTACAGACCCAGCTCTGTCTCATCCCACACGTCTTCATCCGCTAAGCTCGCCTTCCCGTCGGTCTCCACAGCCGCCTCACCGCTGTTCGAGGACTTGTCAGATTCACTCTGGCCCAGGCAGCAGCCGGAATCTGTATCTGACAGCTCCGAGTCCTTCTCCTTGCTGCTGCTGGGCAGCAGCACCAGGTTTTGCCGGACCAGGAGCTGGATGGTGTCATTCAGGCGCACGTCATAGTCAAAGAGAGTGTGGCCGTCCTCCATCTGCAGAGGGACAGAGACAGATCACTTGCCTGCCAGACTTCAGCGTGTGTCTGGGGTGCCGGACAGCAGGAAGACACATGAGCCGAAGCACTGGACTGCCCTCTCTGTGGGCACCATCCTGATCAGATACAGGACAGTGAGATATATCCCCTCCCGGGGATGCACGCTTCCCCTCGCTCCCCGCAGGGCTGCCAGACCATCTCAAAGGAGGACCCCCTTGTGTCATTCGGAGAGTGCTCCTGTGAATACACAGCGTAACCTGCCGTGCTGGGATGCCCATCAGGAAGTTTTCTTACTGTTTGAAGTGTTTTGCAATGTTCGCTACAACAAATGTGCACTTTTATCACTGGCTTTCATTTGAGAGCAATTCTGCCCCCCAGGGAATGAGTGATGTCTGGGGATTTCTGTGGTTGTCACGACTTGGGGTGGTCCTGGGGACCAAGAATGCTGCCCAGCCCCCATCAGCACCAAGGACGGTCCCCTAGACAGTGACCCAGCCCGAAATGTCTGTGGGTGTCAAGGTAAAAAAGCCCTGCATCAATTATTTAGGAAAATAAATTGAGTCCAATTCCTGCTCACACTAGACACCAGAGTAGGAACCCAACAGCCAGATGGTTCAAACCAGGTGCTCCCCCAAGCCCCACTTCCATGAGTCACTCCCTCTTTCCCACTCAATGTGTGTATTTGAATGTGAGCCGATCCTGGGGCCTTGGGTCAGAGGCTGATGGAACACAGTCTGCTGGAGGTCAACAGGATCCCCTCGCCCAGAGGGCTCTCCTGCAGGTGATCCCGCCCACGGGGGACACTTGGTGACATCTGGGGCCATCTGTGGTTGTCATGACTGGGGGAGCCGCTGGTATCGAGGAGATGGGGGCCAAGACAGCAGTTCAATGCCCTGACAGTGCCCAGGACAGCGCCCTGGAGAATGATCCTTCCCTGATGTCAGCAGTGCCGAGGGGAGACCCTGTCCTGTATGAACCAAAGGAGATGCCCCCCGACCTCACCGGTGCGATCTGTGGGGCTGCAGCTCCAGCCTGACCCGCCCAGGGCAGATGCTCAGGTCCACCGACTCCGCCCTCCTCTTCAACCCTTTCATCCCAGTCCCACCCACCCCGCCCACCCACTGCGGGAGCCAGGAGCCGGCACAGCGCAGTGATCGGCACCATTGTCAGTGCCCCATGGCACACCGCTGGCACCGAGGACCCTGCGTGCGTTTTGTTCCATCCAGATGCCCTGAAGGCAGGTCTCTGCCCACAGCACTGTGAACACTCAGGACTAGATTGTCCTCTGAGGCCGTCCTGGGCACTGTGGGGGGGTGACCAGCATTCCTGGCTCCGCACTCAATACCAGGGTGCCCCCAGTGGTGACAACCACAGATGTCCCAGACATACACAGGGTCTCCTCGGGACAGAACTATCTGGTTCCACAGCAGTGCCCTAAAGAAAAAGGAGGAGAGAGAGGGAAGCAGACATACAAATGGGCAACTTTCCCTCCTTCCCAGTTTTACCAGAAGTTAGCGGTTCAAAGGCGTGCCTGTCATTAGAATGTGAATAGCACCTGGGTCACGGTGACGGCAAGTTCCAGGGTCCAGGGCCTTCCACTGTGGTTCCTCATTTATCACAAACCTGAGAATCTCAGATGACTTTTCTACCTGAGGAAATTGCATCTGAGCACGCAGACACTTGCCTGCAGCTGTGGGGGCTCCCAGAGCCTCTCGCCAGCTGGCCAGTGAGCACCCCTGACATGCCTGGCTGGCCAGGTCCCACAGGCAGCCAGGCTGAGTTGGACTTCGCACCAGCCCGCCAACTTGGGGCCAACGCGGGACAGCTCCAACAGGTAGAGGGGACACAGGTGGGCAGGGAAGGGTCAGTCTCCACACGCACATTCACCACAGCGCGATTTCAGGGAGCCCAAGGGGGGACATCCCAGAGTCCAGTCACAGATGAACGCACCAACGCAACATGGGCTGTCCAGACGCAGCAGCGTCGCTCAGCCATAGAAAGGGGTGGCACCCTGACACATGACAACATGGAGGGCCCGTGACCACACAGTGCTCGTGAGACACACCAGGGATACAGAGGGCCACACGGTGTGTGACCCCACTTCTAGGAAACGTCCAGAACAGGCAGATCCACAGACAGAAAGTCTGTGGTTCCCTAGGCAGGAGGAGGAGAAGCTAAAAGGCCCAGGATTTCCTTCGGGGACGAGGAAAACGTCCTAACACCGATGGGTGACGGGTGCACAACTCCACGAATGTACTAAAAACCGCTGAACGGTACACATTAAGTGGGTGGATGGTGGCTGTGAGTTACAACACAACAGAGTGTTACAAAAACGGGAAAGAAGGCAGCCCACAAAGGCTGTCGACCGTGTGACCCCACCTACAGAACATTCTAGAAAGCCAACACTGTGGAGGCAGGACCAGCGGTGGCCAAGGGCTTACCTACAGGGAGTTGGGATGAAGTGGTGCAGTACTCGGGCTTTTAGGGCAGTGGAGGTACGCCGTGGGCACTAATGGTGGACACGCGTCCTCGTAAGTCTGCCAAAGCCACACGTGCACAGCACCAAGATGCCCCTGATGTCAACTCTGGACCCTGGGGGATGACAACGCGCCCATGTAGGTTCATCAGCTGTGACAAATGTACCACCATGGTGGGGACACCGCCCTGCAAGGGGGACTGGCAGGGGAGGCGGGGGACATGGGAAATCTCTGAATCCTTCTTCATTTGGCTGAGAACCTAAAATTGCTCTAAAAAATCAAGATGCTCGTCCCCCTGGGGCCCGGCACCCCCATGGTTGGGCAGACACCCCCCAGCTCTGCCGACAATGGGCTGGGTTGTTCGCCGGTGCAGTTGTCCTGGGCACTGCGGTGGGAGAGCAGCCTCCCCGGGCCCAACCGCTTGATGCCAGGGGCTCCCCCGTGTGACAACCACAGTGGTCCCCAGACACGCCCAGTGCCCCTGGGGGGGCAGAACCGCCCCCAGGGAGAACCAGAGCTGGAGAGACCCTCACGTGAGAGAGACACGCACGCTGATGCTTGCGGCATGCTCCCAGCAGCGTTATCTGCAAGCAAGACAGTGGCTGATTCATGCGAGGGAGTGTCACACAGCTGCGTGTGACAGCCAACCGGGCAAAGCAGATGCGTCTCCCACACATGGAGGGAAATGAGGACAGTTTCAGAGGACGGGAATAAACCAAGCCACCTGGACACCAGCGAGGCCGAGGGGGAGAGCTGGAGCAGAAGGGAGGCCCGGGTCGGATTTCTGTTTTACAAAGAGATTGAATGGCAGCTGGGGCGCGGGGTTGGGGTGAGGGAAAGGAGGGGGTCAGGACGAGGCTGAGGATTGCAGCCAGGTCATCGGGCGCAGGAGGATTCCTGACGCGGCCTCCGGAGCACCCACCCGGCTCCTCTCTCCTACTCTTTCCTGTGCCAGTGCCTCCTGCCGGCTGAGCCCCTGCTGGGCCTGCAGAGGCCCTTTGCATCTGGGACGGGTAGGAGGCCAGGCCAACAGTGCTCCCCACCTGCTCAGCTGCGGGCTGGGAGACAGAGGGTGCAAGGAGGGGGTCACGCCTCCAGGATGCAATTCACAAAGAAGTGCGGCTGGTCTGGCCACTTCCTGAAGCCACTTTGGGAACTTTCCAGAAGGGCCCCACTGTCGGCAGGAAGAAGTTTGCACGACTTTTGTTTCAGCGAGAGGGTGTGTGTTGTATCGCCCTCTGCCCCCACCCACACTGCCTGCCCAAAGCGGGGCACAGATGTTTAGAAACCATGGATGAAAGGCTGGGACTGGGCCCAGGCCCGCCTCAGGGTCACCGTGTCCTGCGTGAGGGGACAGAACATGCCATGTTCGGGTTTGTTTTTGAGATCCTCAACATCCAGCTAAGGTGGCAGCATTCCTGACAGCTATAAAAACTGAATGACAGGGGAGTTGCCCCTGACGTTAGAAATCCTGGCCTTAAAATTAAATCTGAAGTTAAAATCCTGACCAAAATTTCCGCTGAAAAATCCCTGAAATTGTCCACAGTAAAATATGTACACAGGGTTTGGGGCAGGTGACCTGGACAGCAGATTTGGGTCTAAAGGCGAAACTGCCCACGACACTTAAGTTATGTCTTTCTTGCTTTTTTTAATCCAAGATGCTTTCTGGGCATTTGGAATCCTGTGCCAGGGGCATCATGTAAAAGCTAGACAGACACACAGGGGATCTGAGAAGCAAGCGCACGGGTTCCATTTGGGACCGTGGATTAAAAGCTCACCATCCCTGTGTTTCTGCCCATTGTGACATTTCAGGAGATACTTTTCAGGGCGCTGAGCAATACCCAGATGCAAAGGGTGGGAAATAGACATCACTGGACCTGGCAAGTGGTGGCTCTCTGGCCAGCTTAGAGGCAGCGACTCCATGGAGAGGATGGGACGTGAACGAGACTGCAGGGCCTTCACGAGGGCAGGGGGGCCTCTGCCAAAAGAACCCACAGCCGCAGGAGGGCAGGGAGCACTGATGCAGGCAGGCCCCACGCAGCGGGCTTGGAGGCGAGGGAAAGACCTCTGCTCTGCCTGCCACCCTGGGGACCAAGACCCCCAGCCCCCCATCTGCGGCCACCTGAGGCACAGGCAGGACAGGCGGATGGAAAGACAGGAGAGAAGAAACTGCCCAAAGCAGGATCCCAGGCAAGGCAGAGGGGACCCCACTTCTCCCATGGGGATGAGCAAGTAGCGTGGGGGCACCTGCCAGGGCTGGCGCAACCAGCTCTCACATGCCAGCCCGTGGAGGACATAGAAAGGGCAACATGTCGTGACAACTGAACTCTGCCCTTTGACCCTGTAGGGCCACAGCTGAGAAATGCCCTGGAGTGGCGATTTGGGGAGAATGCAAGGCCACAGCTATGGCTGTGACACCACCAGGCTGTCACTGGCCGTGTTCGCTTGTGGCCTCCCACAGCGACAAAGGAGTCCTTGCAGAAGGACGCCGCCAGCTAAAGGAGCGTGCACGCCTGTGGGCTCGGCTGCAAGCTTTTCTCGGCTTTCCACTTCCAGTATGATAAAAACTGACAGACATAATCCACACCAACGGAAGCTCTTTGGGGTCTTCAGTCACTTTTGAGGGTGGAAAGGGGTCCTGGGACCAAACAGCTTGAGCACCCCTGCCCTGAAGAACTCCTGTAATACAGTGCCCTGGAGAAACTTTTCCAGCACATTCCACAGCAGTGCTGCCCTGACAGGAAAGCATGGATGCACCCAGGAGGCTGGATGAAAGTGCAGGGTGTAGTTGGCATGCTACGACCAGCGTGACAGTCCTGGCCTGCACCTGTTTTGTGAACAGAGCTTTAGGGGACACACCTGTTCATTTGTGCACGGTGGCTGCCTCTCCGCTGCCATGGCGGAGGTGAGCAGTCCCACGGAGATGAACGTCCACTGTCGGGCTCTTTCAGAAAGGAGCTGAGAGGGTTGTCTGCAGGATGTCTCGGGCTTAGGAAGGAGGCCCTACTTCACACGGCCTACAGAACAAGGCTCTGCCAGGGGGCTATCATACATGCTGCCAGACCCTATCCCTTGGGGAAACAGGGGCATCGTTCAGGAAAGGCCCATCCAGCAGGGACATCTGGTGAGGGACTGTGACATAAGTGACCCTTGCAAGGCCATTCCCAGGACACCACTTCCCTGATCTTTCAGACTGACCTTAACATAGGCTTCAAGGCCAGTAAGGCTGGTTTTGCTCTTTTCCTAAAACAAATTGTCTACTAAATTAGTAATTATCAACTAGGGGCACTTCTGTCGCCCAGGGAGCTCTTGGCCATGCCCGGAGACATCTGTGGTTGTTACCACTAGGGAGGTTCCTGGCACAGGCCACGTAACACCCCACAGTGCCCAGGATCCCCCCCACCCCAGAGAACAATGACCAAGGCCCAAATGTCAGCGATGTCAGCAGTGCCAAGGCGCAGAGGCCCTGAGTTACCAGACTTATCCAGCCTTCTCTCCAGCCAGGCTGGGGCTCAGCCCTTCCTGTCCATTACCCGCCTGAGTTCTCGCAGTGCCACCGTGTGGCGGGTCCACAATCAGCCGTTTGACCTGCCTGAGCCGCTGGGCCAGGGAACTTGGGAAGATTCTCTGTGAAGCTGAAAGGCCCCTACCTGTGCATGTTTAAGTCACCACAAATGACAGCTACTGTTATTTTTATGGGCAGCCAAAAAAGGCGCCAGATGCCTCTCACCCTTGCCCAGGCCGGGCTGCTGCCCCAATCCCTTCCCCCATTCGACTCCCTGCATTTCCGCCAATCAAGCGACAGAGCCACCAACCCATTCAGCCTCCACTCGCCTGCCACTGAACCCTCCCATATCCTGAAGACAGACTCAGCTGTGTTCTGCTTTATCCTCTCGCTCAGCCTCACTGCAGACCTCGGACGGCCACGCCACATTTCTTTAAAAAGAAAAAAACGCTGAGGAGCCTCGCCGGAACATTCTGTCAGAGCAGCAGCTCTCTTGCCGCCCTCCCACCGCCCCCCACGGAAACGGCACTGCTTTCTCTCACTATCAGACTGGTCTGTTTGCAGACTTCTTGGTGCTGTGCTGCGCTGTGCCTGTCCCCCGCCCTCCTGTCACTGTCCACACCTCCCAGCGGCCAGGCCTGTTCCTTGGCCGGGCAATCTGCGGAAATTGCATCACGCTCTGAGGCCCGGCTTCCTTATTCGGAAGACAGAAACAACTTCAGGTTAATTCCTCTCACGTAGCTGAGGGACAGGAACGAGCGGCAGCTAGTTACCCGGGAAGACGGATCCTTCTGAAAACTATAAAAGCTGCCCTTCAAGAAGGCAGTGTAAAGACCCTACGATTAAGGTACAATGTATGTGCCTTATGCCAGTGGGGTGCCCATCATCAGCAAGTTTTATAACGTACGCAGATGTCAGACCTTTTTTTTTTGTATGGATCTGATATTACATTACAAATGAAAAGAGGTCAGATTTTGGTCACACAGGTGTAGACATTTTCAAAACTCCAAACGGCCTGCTTATGATGTGTGTGCCTTACTACATACAAGTTCGACCTAAAAAAACAAGAACCACAAATACTGAGCTCTAGCTAATGACATGGCATGCTGAAGCGTTTAGGGGTGACACAACTAGTTTTGCAACTTACTTTGAAATGCATCCTAAAACATAAAAAACGGATTGGTGGATGGGCAGAACACAGCGAACTGCATGATAAAGTGAACACTGAGACACATTAGTGGTAAAATATACAGGCAGGTGTCTGGGTGTGTAGGGCTCTTTCAACTTTGCACATTTGAAATGTAAAAATTGAAATGCTCACACAGTGCGTGGCACAGAGCAGGCACTCAAAAATACTTCCCTTGAACTTGGGGGGACTTGATCCAACCCACCTTTGAACTACACCACAAACCCTGTAGCAGGCTTGCACTGGAGGTTTCCAGAAACTCTGTGCAAGGGCCTTCTGCTGAACACATAGACTGTGGCAAATGAAAATCACTTTGGAGACCACAAAAATGAGCCACCGTTGGAGGAGGCAGGAGAAAAGAGCCCCCAGCGGGGCTTACTCAGAGCCCGGCCTCTGCTTGAGGCGCACGCGCACGCGACTACACAGTCAGATGCCTAAGTTGGCGGGATCGGCTTCCCCTCCCCAGGCGGGGCGGGTTAACTTAGATTCTTGAGACACTCAAGTCATCGTATCTCCCACAGGAAGGAAGCAGACGGTCTCCAAGGGCGCCACAAGCCCAAGAAATTAATCACCAGGTCTCATGTCAACTAAGCACACAGGATCCTCCCAACCCCCAAAACTCCTGGCCAGCGACAGAGCATTTATTTCTCCATCTAGACACCAGATGGCGGCAGTACCCACATCAAAATGCCATGCAACAAAGTCGGGCGCACACAGCCCAACTGGAGACTTGTAATCCAGTACAGTCTCCACGCTGCCGTCCCTAAGGTCCACCCAACTCCCGGATGGGCTCAGCAGATGGGACCCCCACGTTGGGGCACACCATCTTATCCTCCCCAGATAAATCCCACTCACAGGTACGTCCCCCAGCCCCAGAAAAGACACCAACAAAAACGGAACTCCCCTTCCCGCCCTGGCCACTGGAGAAAGCGTCCCAAACGTAGGCAGCAATAAAGCATGGGTGGCCATTTTAAATGCTACGAGGGGCTGGGGAGAGAGGGAGAAGAAAGGAGACAGAGGGGCAGGGCCAGCAGACCCCGCGGAAAGCACCAGGCCCTCGGCAGCGGGGAAAGCAGGCTCCGAGTGGTGGAAATTCCTGATTAGGAAGCACCAGTTCCAGACTCTGAACAAACTGATCCAAATTTCTAGGAAACAGACCCTGGGCACTAAAGAGGAGTGGGCCGGGGCCATCGGTGTGTGTTTCAAAGAAAAACACAAGTCCCTTCCGACCCAGTGTCTGAGTAACGATTCCAGGCTCTTCCTTGAAATTCATCAGCTCTCCACTGGCTACCTCCAATTTCTTTTTCTCAAAATTATTTTGCGGGGAGCTTCAGAAAAAGCAGGGGGAGTTTAAAAGCCCAAACACTACAGATTCTAGTGCCAGCTGCCTGTCCGGTGTGTCAATCTGCGAGCAGAGCCTTTGTTCCTGGCTCAGACATTTGAGGTTTCCGCGGAGAAGTGAAGCAGGACGGGGCGAAGGGGGGAGAGTGTATGTGCGACGCCTGGACTGGGCAAGAACAAAGGTGCTGGGCGGGCAGGCGGCCTGCGGGGCGGGTTTACCTGCTTGCCCCTGTAGAAAAGCCTCTGCAGGCCTGGCTCCACGTGGAACACCTCCTGGATCTTCTTTCTCAGCTCTTCCACCTTGGTCAGTCTGGACAACGAGTCCACGGTGTGGGCCACCTTCCCGTCCATGGTGCGAACCTGGACCCACATGGTGTCTGCTGGTGCTGAGGCAGGAAGAGAACGGGACCCCTAGGTCAGTTCGGCTGCCTCTGCCATCACCAGGCCATGCCACACTTGGTCATCCTTGCTTTTATCCGGTCTGTGAACAGACACCAGGGAAGACCGAGAACGCCCTCCCGGCCCCCTGGTCTCCCTAGACCGCAAAGCAGGCCCAGGGCCTGGCAGAGCAAATGAAGGAGTTAATGCATTAGTAACTAGCACGGGTGGAGGACTGAGGAAGAAGAAATTAAGGGGAGGCAAATGGCATCTTGACCACTCAGTCCAACTCACTCCGCCTCTCAGAGAGAAAAAAACCATCCAACGTCCAGGAGGGGAGGGAGGACACAGCGAAATGGTGAGGGATGGGGTTTGTTCATTGATTCGTTCATTCATTCTCTGGATTAATACTGACGCAAAAGGGAAACCCAAAAGTCTGGCGCCCGTTGTAACTTCCAAAGTCCCAGCGAACTCAACTAAGTGGGTGAAGCAGGTGAAAGGACCCCGCCCGAGACCCGCGGGCCCCTGACTCTCGGTGCCCGCAGCCCCCACCGCCCCCCGGGCGTGCGCCGCGGGCCGGCCCCGCGGTGGCCATGGCAACAGGCCGCCCCGTCCCGGCCGCCCCCGCGCGCGTCGCGCAACTCACCTCTGCCCCACCGCCGCCCCGAGCGCCGGCTCGAGTTCCCCGGACACTGACCTCCGACCCCGGCGCTCCTCTGGTCCTACCGCCCGCTGGCGCGGGCCACGCTAGTGAGCCCACGCCCACCCCCACCGCCGGGACCGGCCAAAGGGCCCCGCGCGCCAAGTCCCGCCCCCCTTCACTTGAGCCGCCTCGCTTATTGGCTCCTTTGCGCCCGGCCGCCCCGCCCCGCTCGCTCCCCATTGGTTCGGACGTGCCCGGGGAACTAAGGGCGCGCGAAATCGGGCTCGGGCGCGACAATTGAATCGCGGGGCGACCCGCGCGCAGGCGCGGAGCCTGACAACCTCCCCCGCAGCTCGCTGTGCGCACCCCCACCCAGGCGGGGCGACCCCAGCGGGGCTCCCGGGACGTTCCGCTTGCCGTTGTGGAAGCCTGGGCTGTTGGGGACCACTCCCAAGGGCAGGGGCAGAGCTGAGACCGCATGCAGGGCAGGCCCCGTGCTCCCGTGAATGCCGTGCGTCCCGGGCAGCTCCGAAAAGTTTGCAAAGTCTCGGCGCCGGGTGCGCCAGGCCCCCTTCCCGGCCCTGCATGGCACCCCAATCCGCCCCGCCACTTACCTCTCCAGCTGCCCCGATCCACTCTCGCCTGCTTGCGCTCCTGGCCGGGCTGGAGATGGCGATGGAGCCGCGTGCGTGGCCCGGACCCCGCGGAGATGTGCGTGAGACCCAAAGCGCCTGGACGGCCGCCTCTGCCCGCCGCGCTGCCAGCTGCTCTGATTTTTTTCCCGCGAAAACTCGGCGTTTGGGAGTTGCGGGGCTGCGGAGGGCCGCGCCGGGGGCGGGCGCCTGCCAGATGATTGGCCGCCGCAGTGGCGGGAAGCGAGAAAAGGGGTGGGGGGCACCCCCGCCTATGTCCACCCCCCCAACTCCGCCCAGCAGGCCGCGGCCCCGCCCAGCCTGCGCGCTCTGCTGGGCGCGCCCAGTGTGCAACGGGGCCGGTGGCGGGACCTAGGACCCCCACTGTGCCTGCCCCCCCGGGAGCCCTGGGCATGGACCGCTGGGATAGGGACCCCTTGACCTCATAAATCCATTCCCGCAGCCCTGCTCCCCCGCCACATATTAACCAGTAGGACCAAGAAGGCCATAATCAGTGCCTAAACACTGCAAGAGAAAGTGGGGCGGGGGGGGTGTCCCACATGAGACTGCCTGCACCCAGATGGCTGGCCTGATCGCCCCAGTCCCTCTTCCTAGCGTCAGGGCCGGCCAGAGCTCCCCACCCCATCCACCCACAGGGCTTGTTCGCTGTGTTTTCCCGCCTCGTTTTCCCGCCTTCTCCGGGCTGTCCAGGCGGGCAGGACTGCCCTGCCCCCTCCACCCTGCCTGCTCAGCTCTGGCCAGTCTTGGCGGGCACACAGTGACCCATGCTAGGCACCCACAGAGCGCCTGGACAGGGTGCTCAGTGCTGGGGGACCGAACAGTGGGCCAGGGCAACCCCGTTATTGGTCTCTGGAAGGGTAAATTCTCGTCTGGAGAGACGGGCACTGTATGTATGAATAAAGCAAGCCGTTTCAGATACTGCTGCCTGCGATGAAGATAGGACAATAGGCTGCGGGTGACCAGCGGCCATGTGGGGGCTGGGGTCAGAGGATATTCTGGCTGAGGTGAAGAGGTGGGCCTCACCGAGCAGATGAGTTTGAGCTGGGACGTGAGATGAGAAACCAAGGACAGACGGGACGAGGAGGGACGAGCAAGCTCAGAGGCCGGAAAAGACGGAACCACGTAGGAGGAGCAGCAGCAAGGGGCCAGTTGTAGCTGGGCTGACTCCGCAAAGGGGGGGCAGGAGGAGGTGAGGTGGGAGGGGGTCCGAGAAGACCTCACAGGCCACCAGGAGGACTTGGGTCCTACCTCTGGTGAGCGGCAAGTAGCACAAGAGGACTGTGAGCAGGAAAGTGATTGATGGGCTCCAATTTACGTTTTTACAAGGTGTCTCTGGCACTGTCCTGAGTCCCTTCTATCTTCTGCTTTTACTTGCTCAGATGGTAGACAGAATGATGGCCCCCCAAGAAGCCCATACCTTAATCCCTGGAGCCTGTGAATATGGTTCCTTATATAGCAAAAGGGATTTTGCAGATGGGATTCAATTAAAGATTTTTCAAAGGGGGAGATTATCCTAGATTATCCAGGCTGGTCCAGAGTCATCCTGAGAGTCTTAACAAGAAAAAGAGAGAAGCAGGAGAGTCAAGTCTGGGAAGAAGTGACAAAGCAAAGGTTGGGATGATGAGATCTAGAGGCAAGGAATGTAAGAAACCTCTAGAAGCTGGAGAAGGCAAGGGCCGGATTCTCTCCCAGAACCCTAGAGTGCAGTCCTGCTGACACTTTGATTTTAGCTCCTTAAGACCCATTGTGGACTGCTGACTTCCAGAACTGTAACACAATGAATGTGTGTAGTTTTGGGTTTTTTTTGAAACACTGAGAAAGACTCGAATGCGTGTAGTTTTAAGCCACCAAATTTGTGGTCATTTGTTACAGAAGCCATAAGGAAATGAGTGCAGTTCAAATTCAACACAGAGATGGGGCTGTTAATTTTCTCCAACTTCAGGACTCCATCTGTGTGTCCAATGGCTCAGCTATCAGGTGTGTAGAGGCCATGTCACAGATAGGAGCAGTTATCAAGCAGACCTGCCGGAATTTGTAAAACAGATGAGATCTTCCAGAATGAGAACACCTGCCGCGGGAACCTGGCCTATTCCTGGGGAGGGCATATCATGTTTGTGCCTGCTGTTGCAAAAACTCAACATGGTCAAAAGAGGGAATACATTCTTCACGTACATTTGGTACAGAGCACAACCCAGGCTCCTTGCATATCATAACTAACACAGAAAGAGGTGTCTGGCTTTCCCTGCAGAAAAGACAGAGGGATGCAAGTTTCCACTTCTCTAGTCATTTCGAAAAAGGGGGGTTGCTTGGGTTAATTAAGAAATACGAGTAAAAGACTTTGCCAGGCATCTCCAAAAGCAGCTTACAAACCAGTTAGGTAGACAAGATGTTTCTGTGAAAGACATGACATAAAATAAAGCAAGAGGCAACAAAGACAATGAATGAGGCTCATCAGTCTGGAGAATGGACACTCCCTCTCTCCTCTGCTTCATTGTCCCTCCCACTTAGGCAACAGCCCCTGTGCAAATCAGGCCCCAGGCATAACCACTAGGATGCAAAGGGCTCTGTTTCCCTTTTGTAAAGTGATAGGCTCTCAAAGGTCATTATGTCATTCAACAAACTTTTAATCACCCCTTTCCCCCTTGTCTGAACCAGGCCCTGAGTCAAGAAGACCTTGATGGACTTGGACTCGAGCTTCCAGAGACAAAGTCCTACCCTGGAGGGACTTCCCATCCAATGGGGGAGACTCCGACATAAAGAGAAATGTCAGTTGTGCAGGGAGAGGGTGTCTGTATTTAGGGGTACAACATGGACAAGATGCTCTGAGCACCTTCAGCACAAACCACATTTCATGTCCTAGCCTTATCTGCAATATTTTTCTAACACAGACTGGAATAAATACAGAGCCATTCAAATGACAATGATTATCTGTGTATGGCCCCAAACCAATGTGGGACTCTAAGAAGGCACATAACACATTTGGAGGTCATCTGATAGGGCAGAAAATACCTTTGGGTTCATTCCCCATGCCTCCCCATCCATAAATGGGGCTTATAATGCCTTCTTCACTCAGGGGCTGGAAGACTTTTCCCACTATGTAGCAAGAATGCTGGGGTGTTGTGGTTGTTTTTGGTTATTTCCCAGGAAAAAGTGGTCACCATTTCATGAGCCAGTGAGGACCTCAGGATTGTTGCCACCCATCCCCAAACAACACCCCGGCCACGGGGAACCCCTTCCCAGAACCTTAGCTGGATGATGTCATAGAAGAGTGACCTCACTGTGGCCAAGGAACTGGGAATCGCAGTGGGATAGGGGAAGGGGGAGGATGTCTCTCCATCAGCGCAACCCCCTCATGTCTGTGGTGAAGTCGATTGAATTACTGCTGCCCAAGGATGCAGTCTACCTGGCCGGCTCCAGCATAAAAGGGCAGGTGGTTCTTATCCTGAACAGCACCCTAATGGATCCCATAGTGAAGGTGGAGCTTGTGGGAAGAGGCTACGTGGAATGGAATGAAGAAATCGGGGCATCCTGCGATTATAGCAGAAAGGTGATCTGCAGCAACATGGCTGACTACGTGCACAAGACAAAAACATTCCTGGTGGAGGGTAAGGATGAGGCCAGTAGCCAACCCTAGCCATATAGGAACCTGGGTCTGGAAGGTAAACACATCTTTTAGCAAATCTCCAGGGATACCTGAAGTGGGTTGAGGCCTGGTTCCTGCCTAGGAGGGAAGCCATATAGAACAATGACCATCAGATACATGCAACACAAAAATAACAAGACCCAAGGAGCTGACCAGAACCCAGATATTCACAATGACAGCTCAAAGTTCATTCATTCAGTTCACAAACATTTATTGAGCACCTGCTGTGCACAATGCCAGGTGCTGGAGATCCAGCAGTGACTAAAACAGATGGTTGCTGGCTTCACTGGAATTGGCATCCAGTGGGAAGACACAATAAAAAGAGGGTTTTGGAGAAATGCAAGAAAAAAAGTAAAATGAGGAGGTACAGAAATGGGGGTGATCTAAGTTTCTCCCTGGTCCTCAGTCGCCACTGAATCAAATATTAAGCACCTACTGTGTGCCATGCACTGAAAGCCAAGATCCATGAGAGCAGGGAGTTCGGTCTGCCTTGCTCACTGCTATAAACGCAGCCTAAAACAGCCTCTGACTCACAGTAGGGACTCAGAATGTTTTGCTGGGCAAACATGCGTCTGAATTCTGAGGACCTGACCTCCAGTTTCTCAAGCACAAAGCAAGAGTCACCACTTCAGCCTCGTCACCCACCCAGGAGATCCCTCTCTAGCCCAGCTAAGGCCTGAGCCTTAGTATTTACAGGCCATGCAGGTCCCTAAAAGCACACAATTCAGCTTCACTCGGGGACAGGAGGGCCGAGCTCAGAACAACCTCCCTGCCAGAACAACAAATGAAGAGGAAAAAAAGAAGAAAAAAGAGTCCAGAACCTTCTGATGGCGGTGTGTTTTGCTTTCAGATAATTGGCTAACTGCAAGCAGCCACACCTTTGACTTCCACTTCGACTTACCTCCCAGGCTTCCTTCTACCTTCATCAGCAAAATTGGCCAAGTCTCCTACTTCGTGCAAGCCTCCTGCATGGGTCGGGAGCACGTTCTAGCGAAGAAAAGAATGTATTTGCTGATTCAAGGGACTTCGGACTTCAGCAGAGAAAACCTCCTGCAGGTAGTGATGGGGGCAGAGGTCAGGGGAGAGGGCAGGGCACAGGGAAGGCCCCCACAGGGAAGATAAAAAGATGACAGGTCCCCGCACCCAGTGAGTTCAACAAAGCTGAATCAGAAACCAGGGCAGGCGCTAAGCCAGTGGCACTCAACAGAGGCAATTCTGCCCCCCAGGCACCCCTGGTGATGTCTCGGGATATGTGTCATGACTGGGAGGGGGGCTACTGGCATCAGAAGAGTGAGGGCCAGGGGTCTCAACACCCCACAGTACACAGGACGGCCCCACCCCAGAGAATGATCCTGTCCCAATGTCCCTGACCCTGCAGTAAGTCAGGACTGGGCGAAGGCCCCCCCGTGTCCCCCTGGGTAAGAGAGAGGCCTGGACACTCCGTGACTCTCTAGGAGCTTTGAGCCCTCAGACAAATAGAAGTGCGCCCCCACCCACAAAGAAGCAAGGAAGGGGATGCTCAGTCCCAGGAGATGAAAAGCTGTGCGGCGTCAGCTCGCCTGAGCAGAGGTTTTCTGGACGGCTTCTGGAGGCCCAGGTGCAGAGGCGGAAGTTGGGGCGGGTGGGGTAACGTTGGCCAAAGACACTTCACCTCTCTGGGGACTCATTTGCATATCGCAGTGTGGTGCCTGAGAAGGCCGGCATTTTATTTTTTGAGGTCCCAGTTAAAATCCCATTTTCTTGCCTGTAAAATGAGCACAGAGATAGCGCCTGCCTTCAGGGTCGTGGAAGGAGAAATGAGCGGCCTTAATTTGAGTCTAGGGCTAGCATGATGCCTGGCACAGGGTTGGGGGACACGGCCATGAATCTTGTTGCCGCTGCCATGGCTGGTATTAGTATCTATGTAGCAAGGATCACCTCTAGCCTGGCCCACCTCATGGGAGGGTCCAGGAGGGTCCCAGGAGGGGTAGAGGTTTGGAGGGGTAGATCAGCCCTAAGACGAGCTGCGGGAGTCGAGCTCCAGCCTAGGGGTGGGATGCCCGAAGGTGCCGGACGGAGTCGGCGTACGGAGAGACAGGACACGGAGTCAGTTGGAGGAGGTCTCTCGACAAAGTGCCGATGACGGCTTTATTGATACCATTTTGCACAAGGATATGATTATTTTTTATTTGTTCTTTTGATTAACAAGCATAGGCAAGCTTTTCTCTTTCTGTTTCCTTCTAATCTATATATGGTTAGTCAAGTGTTAGACAGGTGATTTTTTTTCTGTTCCTTGACCTAAACTTTTCTTAGCAACATGAACTCTATTGTGTCTCATGTTTTTTTTTTTTTTGGTGTCATTAATCTACAATTACAGAAAGAACATTATGCTCACT